GATGCATGGTTGTCACAACTTACTGAGCCCTGTGACACCTAAGTCTGTGCTGGGTGCTTTAGACACACCGTGATGTGTAAATTGTAGCAACCCCAGAGGTGGAGATTGTCCTGGGAATGGCAAGGAAATGGAGATGGAGAGAGGCGAAGCTACTGGCCCAAAGCCCAGCTGTGGCTTATAAATGACAGCCTCATCAGAAAGACGTGACCCTTGACTTGTGCCTCATGGAGGTCAGCGATTCACCAGCCAGGATGCAGCATGATTTCTCCAGGAAGGACAGCCACTGGGGGAAGGACTCCAGGGTTGGTTACCACTGCCCCTGTGGAGAGGGGACACACAAGAGCCTTGGGTACCCACATTCACTGACGACTCCGCTGGCACACACACACCGGGGGAAGGAGAGAGCCCCATCTGGTCATACCCAGAAGTCTGGGAGCGCGAGTGAAGAGGAGGAGAAGAACCTTCCTAGGCTGCAGGTTGGTGAGAGAGAAGAATGATAAATGTGGACAGCGACATTTGCACAGCAGGTCAGGAGGACAACAGACAGGCAAGATTTTAAGAAATGTCACGCTGCCCTGCCAATTGTGTCGGTCATACATTCAATTGCCTATTAACTACTTCTGGCTTTTGAAATAAGTTTCTCTGGAAAAAAAAAAAGATTGAGAATAAATCATGCAGGTCCCTGAATTTTATTTGTGTTATATTGATACCTTCCTTTTTCTTTATTAAGAAATTGACATTGAGAGTGTGATTAATGGTATAATGAAAAAAAACACATAAAAATATTTTCAGAGCTTTAGAACAATTGTTCCTTTAGATAGTTTGGGAAGAAGTTAATAATACCATTTCCTGAAAACCTGTTCCAATTGCTCGTGTTCTTTTCTTCTTGCTATTTGGCAGAAAAGAAAGGTCCAGATCCCTGAAGTGCTTTGTAGCTGCAGGAGGCCAACGGCCTGGCAGATTTTGTACATCTTAGAGACAAGAGAGAAGCTTAAACCATTCCATTTCAACTTCATCATTTTTTATCATTTTACCTGGAATTATTCAGAATCTAAGGATGGGCTCTGAGATGAGAAACACTTCCCTGTGCCCCACCCCTGATCTTGTGTCTCCCACATACAGCGGGCACTTCACGAGGAAACAAAATTGATAATTGTGATGTGTCAACTTAGTAAGAACCATCTGGCAGATTGGTAAAGTGTTTGCAGATGATTGACATGGAGGCCAGCAAATAGAAGGGAAGGTCCACCTCAGATGTGGGTGGCACCAACCAATAAGCTTGTACCTGGAATGAATAAAAAGGGAAAGAGGAGGTAAGTGTTCCTATCTTGCAGGAACTCCACTCTTCCTTATTGCCTTTGAACATCTGTCCCCAAGCTGTTCACCTGAACTGGTGACTGCAGAGTTTCCAGGTCTTCAGCCTTCAAGAGTTCCTTGATCTTCTAGGACTCCACTTCTGATTCTGTGAGCTTATCTAGTACTGCCCTCCTGTAATTATACAAACATTTTCTATTGATCCTGCTCCTCTAGTAAACCCTAACACAGGACAGGAGTTCAGTGTTCTGTTCCCAGGATTCCAGAAGCTAGCATGGACCCTGGCACTAGTGAAGCACTCGGTAAAGGTGTGTCGGGGAAGAAATCAGGCCTGACACCTGGAAAAACACTAGATTTTCTCTGGAAACCCCCAACATCTCTCATCCGAATTCTCTTTTTGAGTTTAAGTATACAATAACACTGCCTCAGAAACTGAAACTCAAAACTTCAGAAGTGGCCAGGAAAAGAAATAATGTATGGAGTTAGCAAAGGGCACAGTGACCACTGAAATCCTGACAGTCCTCACTATTCGCTATTATTCAGGTTTGCTGAGCACATGAATACCAGACACTGTGCTAGCTGCTCACAAGACAAATCCTTAATCTGAGCATGGTAAGGGGAATACAAACTGCATCTTTATAATTTCTCTTATCCCTTAATTATGTCAAACACAGAGCTATTTATGTTCCAGGCACTGGCCTAAGTTCTTCCTGTATATTGTTTAGATTATAAGTAGAATTAATTTCTGCTTTATAGACAAGCAAGTGGAGACTTGGACAAGTTGAGTTCTTGTGGCCATGCTCCACGGCTGGCCTGCATGAAGCCCAGGCTCAGATTCCTGTGGCGCAGTGTCTGCCCTCACCTGCTTACTGACCATCAGGGCCCTTCCCCAGGTGCAGGCCTAAGATCACTGGCTTCAGGCCACCAGGAACTCGGGATCAGAACATACACTGGTGGAGTACACCTGTAAACCCAGTAGTCTGGGAAGCAGAGGCAGGAGAATCAAAAATTAGAGCCCACCGGGGGCAACTTACCACCCTAGTGAGACCCTGCATCAAGTAGAAAGATACCAAAAGTGCTGAGGATATAGCTTAGTGCAAACAACCTGGGTTCAGTCCCCAGTGCAGACAAAAGAAGAAAGGAAAAAGCAGATACCCAGGCCTGCAGAATCAGAAACTCTGCAGGTGAGGAGAGCCTGGAAATCCCTGCCTAAAGCCACTTGTCCAGGTAATTTGCATGCACAGCTGTGTCATCTGTGTCTAGATGTCCCCCAAAGCCTCGTGTGGTCACAGGTGGGCTTTTATAGAGGTGGCTGGATATATAGTATGTGATACTGGAATTGATTCAGGGCATAATGCTAGACTTAAGGGCACTAGGATTAAGGATGTGAATAATACCCAGGCCCTACGTAGTCCAGATGAGATATAAGGGACAGAGAGGCCTGTGGTCGCCTTTGGCTTGCTGTGCTGCCTTCTGCCCACCATGAACTGTTTCTCCTTTTTGATGGTTGTCCACCATGCCACCCTGCCTTGGAGCTACCCGATGATGGGCTGAAGCCTCTATGGACTGAGAGCTACATAAGCCTGTCCCTCGTTAACTTTTGGCATAGGGTATTTTGTCTCAACAATGTGAAAAGTCACTAAGCCAGCAGCAGGGTTGGTGACCGCAGCTCTCAGTCATGTTGCATTCCCATCTGTGTCATGCCAATCAAGGGGCAAAGAAGAAAAGAAAAGAACAGGGTAGGAAAGGAGGGAGGGAGGAAATTGCCCCCGGTTGGGATCCTTTTCAGCTCAAGGCAGGTCAGCACTGAGGCCCCCCCACTTCTGCTTGAGGGGGGCCTCAGTGGGCTCCCCCAGGGCTGAGGGCCTCATGAGCCTCAGTAGGATTCAGTGGCCCTCTGTGCCAGGGATCCCTGCTGAGATGGTGCCATTTAGGCAGCCAACTACCAGCAAGAACAGTAAGATGAAATTTAAGTGTGGCCAGGTCAAGCCTGTCAGATGAGGGCACTGCTTCCCAGGTGGCTCCAGCAGGCAGGTGGGCAGGCACCTGCAGATGAAGACAGCAAAGCAGCCAGGGGGAGGGGTAGAGACCGCAGGAGGGGCCTGAGGATGGGATTCCAGGGCGGGGACCCATGGCTGCTTCTGCAGCAAACCACTGGGTTTCAGTTTCCTCATCTGTAAAAGCAAAGTCTTGTTATTATCCGAAGGGTGCTCTGCTGTCCTCTGTGGCTGCTCAACTCTGAGTCAGACACTGCCTGTCTCGAGTCAGTTGGTCCATCTTCATTACAAATGTCCGTGAAGTCACTTGGCCCCTTTGACACTGACACACAAGGAGAATGGGCTGTAGTGTGGCTTAGGGACTTGCCTGAGCTTTCCAGCAGGAGACCGTGAAGCCAGGATTTGGTCCCAGAGCTGCTGTATGCCAATGCCTGTCCTGGTACTATCCAGAGCTTCTCCAGTGTCCCTTCCACTTCTTGTTTTTATGACCATTTGCGCCACACAGTAGCACTGCTTGAGGGGCTGCTCCATTCTAAACCTCCATGCCAAAAGCCCAGTTGGCTCATGTGCCTGGAGGGAGTACACAAAGACCCCACCTGTGTCTCTGTCTGTGGAGGACTTGTCACTGCACCAGGCCCCAGAGGTGTCCTGCAAACAGAGGGACCCTTGCTCAGCTAAAGAAGAGCCAGAGCACAGGTCATAAGACTGGGGAGACCCTCTGCAGAGTGTGTGGAGGCTTTCAAGCACCCCAGGACTTGCTGAGAAACCCAGGCCTCTAACACCAGCTCATACGCACTTCTGAGCTCAGGGCCTTTGCACTGGTTGTGGCCTCTGCTGAAGACATCATTCTTAAGAGGTGATTTTTCCTTCTAAAAGAAGGAAAAAAAGAAGATTCTTCCTCCTCCTTTGTTGTCCTTGGCTCAGGTCATGATCCCCTCTTGAAGGAGGCCTTTGCTGACCACTGCAAGGAAGTGGTATCCTGAACCCATCTCGACCTGTCCCTCCCCTGCTTAACTTCTTTCATGGTTCTCAGCACCATCTGAAATGCCCGTCCTAGAGAAGAGCGTGGCACATTGTTGATTCTCAACATGTGCCGAATGAATGGCTAAGTGAAATAATAATTGGGAACTCTTACTTTGTTTTGCAATAAAGATCCAGGAAACTACATTCATGAGCGCCTACCTCATTCTGGTTAACAAAGGTAGAGACCACAAGAAACGACAGCGGGCTTGGTAACAACTTAACAACCTCCCAGCAGCTATACCCACACATGTTGCTGGGCACCGTTCCAAAGCTAAAGAGGCACTAATAGCTTTTATGTAAAGAGATAGGAGCACAGAGCCACCGTGTCCCTGAGCCCTGTCGGGCTGCATTATTAGACTGGTTACTGTGTTAATTGGTCGTATCTCACACAGCCACTGTGGGCTTCCTTCTGCATGTCTGGGATGGTGACAGGTTCCTATACTGGAAAGACAGGTCCTGGGGAAGAGCATGGGCACGTGACTGTGCACGGGCATAAAGGCAGCCACACGCTGGAAAGAGTTAACCTGCAGCCTGGCTGTCCACGCTCAGGACCCGAAGCTGGCCCAGGAATGGGCGGGGAAGGCCTGGAAGGTGTGGTGGCTGGGCTCGCACCAACTGCCTCCTCCAGCACAGAGGAGCAGACACATGCCCGGCCAGACCAAGGCTGGTGAACTCCAGGTGTTGCAGGAATGGCTGCAAAAGCCCACACCTGGAAATCACTCTCTGCCTGCCCCTCCCTGGCAGGTTGCATTTGGGAGCCGCTCTGATCATCAGAGGAATGAACCGGGAGAGAGCCGTGCGCCAGCCCGCCAGCACTTGGTAGGACGCAGGGGCAAGGATGGATGTGGTGGACAGCCTTCTTGTGAATGGGAGCAACATCACACCTCCCTGTGAGCTCGGCTTTGAAAATGAGACATTTTTCTGTTTGGATCGACCCAGGCCTTCCAAAGGTAGGTGCCAGAGGCTATTATTTTAATTCAAAAACTCCTGAGTTGAAGGGAGCAATCTGTCAAGGCAAAGCTGATAAAGAAAACAGAGCAAAGTCATTGTGAGACAAGGCTGAGTAAAGTCCGAAGCTCAGAAGTTTGGGTAGAAAGATCAAAAGCAGACTCCAGTCAAAATAGTCGTACTGTTCCCCGCGGGAGAGTTGGGGACCAAGGCGTGGGACTTGGAAGGACAAAAGCAGGGGGAGGCAGAGCTGAACGCAGTGAGAAAGGAGGACAAGTGTGGCAGCCCGGACTTACAAGCCCTGCAGAAAAGACGCTGTCACGATGGAACAGTTGCCTTTTCTCGGGGAAACCTAGCGTGACGAAGTGATTAAAACCAAATAATGCTCAGCCGCTGAGAAAGCTGGCACCATCCAGCCCCGCTGTCCTCAAGAAGCAGTGCTATCCCGAGCGATCCTTTAGCAAGCCAACCTTTCAAAAGCAACTGAATCACCCCGTGCTTTGCTCAGTTTTTCTGTAAACTGTTGTCTATGTGGGAAGTGGAGGGGCCGCTGGGGAGGGGGCAGGAAGCGGCACTAGGATTTTAGCATTCTGCTCTCATCCCTGCTTCCCGCTGCTGTGCTGTCCCTTGCAGAGTGGCAGCCGGCAGTGCAGATTCTCTTGTACTCCTTGATATTCCTGCTCAGCGTACTGGGAAACACACTGGTCATCACGGTGCTGATTCGGAACAAGAGGATGAGGACGGTCACCAACATCTTCCTGCTCTCGCTGGCCGCCAGCGACCTCATGCTCTGCCTCTTCTGCATGCCCTTCAACCTCATCCCCAGCCTACTCAAGGATTTCATCTTCGGGAGTGCCCTGTGCAAGACCACCACCTACTTCATGGGTGAGCTGCTGCAGGGCGCTACGTGCAGAGCTGGCTCCAGATCTGCCTCAGGGCCAGACCTTCCCAAGCCCCACTGGGTTCTGACAGCCCCTGGCTGTGTAGGGCTAAGTGCAAGGGTACAGGTGCTGGCTTTGTAGGAGGCCAGTCCTCCTACACCACCAGGGCTCAGAAGTTCAGATGAAAACACAGAGGAGGTTGAATATTTTTGCTCCAGCTCAAAGGGAGAAGGGTTCAAAAGTGTAGGGAGATTTGTTGGCCTGGTACCCACCTGGAGGTTCAATTCCCAGTGCTGAAAGCAAACAAAGTGACTTCAAGCTGCTGTTCTTTCTGGGAGCCGATGATGCTATCCTTATCTCTCCTCCACTTGGGGGGAGGGTGGAGGGCATGGAGGAACACTCTCTGCTGTTGTGCCTCTTGTTTTCTTTGCCACTAGAGACTATTTTTAAACCAATTTTGTCACAGGTCTAGTTTCTCTTCTCAAGACTCACTTCCTAGATTGTTCCCCAAAATGGATAGGACCATGTCAGGCAAAGGGCGAAAGGAAAAGAAAGGTGAGAGAGAGGAAAGACTCAGAGAGAGAGAGAGAGAGAGAGAGAGAGAGAGAGAGAGAGAGAGAGAGAGAGAGAGAGAGGTCTCTGCCCCTCATGAAGAGCTGAATGTGAGCCTGAGAGCTGTGGATCACCCCAGCTGCCCCTGACATCCACAGCTCTTTCCTAATGATGAAATCATTATTGCAATAAAACTCACAAGAGCTAAAGATCTTTTCTGTACCAGACACTATGCTGGTGCTTTTGCCCATTTCACCTCCCACCCTCTCTGTGGAGAGAATGCAGTTACCCTTGCCTCCCCCGTCAAGGAGAAGCAGAGGTCCAGAGAGGCTCTAAGCTGCTGAAGAACACAGATGAGGAGTGACACTGCGGGGCTTTGAACCCAGGGTGGCAGCTGTCACCACCATCACCACCACCGTGGTGAGCACACTGACTCTGTTGACTGTCGCCCACCAAGTTGCTGAATTCCTGGCCATCCTGAGAAATAGTTGGGAGAGAGGGAGAGGAAGTACATATGGAGGCAACTGTTTTCTTGTGTACCCCAAGGCTTGCAAACCACACAGCACTGGGCCGAGCTGCGGCAGGCTACAGTGATCAGAAAGCTGTGAGATGTTGTTTTTCCAAGCTAAGGAAGTGGGTCCAGCACAGATCAAATGGACATGAATTCCTGACCGTCGTGCCAGGAACAAATACCCAAGATCATGTCATTGTGTCATGAAAAGGTATTTTTTAATTAAAAGGGTTCTTGTTAAATAACAACACAATGATAATAATAATAACTATTCCACAGTGCTTTAGATTTCCAAGGCATATCCAATATATGTTGTAGAATAGGATTACAGGGCATAAAAGGAGATTGCAGGTGGGTGTCCACATGGTTGCTGTGCAGTGTGACTTGTTCCCTTTACTATGGCCTTGTGTTATGTGAGTTTTGCCCAAATTAAAAAAAAAGAAGTTAAACAGGCAAAAAGAAAAGCTAATTCTGAAAGTGTTGGGGATAGCATACTCACTTTGTTGGATTTCTAGTTCTAGGGATTTGGATTCTTGGAGTTTTTGTGGTCTCTTAAACACTATTCTTATCATTCATTAAACTATTTATATCAAAGAAAAGGAGGACTGAGTGCTCTCCCAACAGTGAGCTCATAGTTACAGTGAACCCACTACACAGAACAAAAGCTTGACAGTGCTTTAGCCGGCTCATGCTTTACAGCAAAGCACAGAAAAACATAGCTAATTCCATCCCATGGTGTCAGCTTTTATTTAATGATTTTAGAGTCTCAGACTCCTTTAAGGCTAAGAAAGTTAGGTCCAGCCGTGCAAAAATAAGTTCAATTTTGTATAATTTTAGAGTTCTGACTTATAAACATATATGTTATGAGGCTCTAAGGAGTCAGGTCAAGAACTCTTTCCAAGGCTATGTTAATCCTCAGGTTTGAAGACTCGGAGAAATACTCAAAGTGGGCAGAATTCGTGACTGGAGTTTTCAAAGGAAAACTTTCAAGGGTTAAGGTATTATATGTACATACGCACACTGCAAATATTAAGGGGAATTGGGCATGGTCTTTTATTACTATGCCCAAATATGTGTTGTTACACATGATGCATTTTGAATCTTTTTACACTGTAATGATAATGCACACACTTTACAAAATACAAAACAGCAAGCAGGGTGAAAAAGACGACCCTAATCCCCGCCCCCCGACAGAAACCTTTAGTTACAGAATGCAGTTTTTCTCTTCCACCTTTTTTTACTATGTATTTTTAACAGATTATATTTTAAAATTAAGCATGTTCTCTTTTTTTTAAAAAAAAGTTATGTATGAGACATTTTTAGAAAATTAATGCCTTCCAGCTCAGACTCCAGTGACCCTTGAGGGTTACAGAGTTCTTGAGACTCTTGGTTGTGCAGGTCACTTTAACCATGTGGGCCTGCGTTTCCATGTCTGGTTCTGATTAGTGCTTTTCTCTAGATTTATCGACATCCTTTTTGGCAGGACAGCAATGTCTTTTTATCCCCTTGGTTATTAATTAATGAGCACCTTCAACCCAAGCAGGAGTTAGATTGCAATCAAAGCTCAATGAACTTATCTGAAAACTAGCAGTAGCTGTATTTACAAATATAGTCCCTTAACTGCCTTAAATCCTTTTGGAACAAAGTGGGAATAAATCATTTCTTTAAAATACACACACACACACACACACACACACACACACACACACACGTGTTTCTGCCTCCCTTTGATAGTAGCAAACCTGAGCAGGTGTGATACGCCGAAAGCTCATGGGCACATGAATTTTGTGTTTCCACACTGACGGAGCCGGCTCCTTCGCCTCTTCGCAGGCACTTCTGTGAGCGTATCCACCTTTAACCTGGTAGCCATATCGCTGGAGCGATACGGAGCCATCTGCAAGCCCTTGCAGTCCCGAGTTTGGCAAACGAAGTCGCACGCGCTGAAGGTGATCGCCGCAACCTGGTGCCTGTCCTTCGCCATCATGACTCCGTACCCCATTTATAGCAACCTGGTGCCTTTCACCAAAAACAACAACCAGACTGGAAATATGTGCCGCTTCCTGCTGCCAAATGATGTGATGCGGCAGACCTGGTAAGGTGGCGTTGCGTTTATTTTTAATACAATTTTATTTAAGTTTCTAATATGAAAAACTGGAATGCCTTGCTCAGAGTGGTTGAGAGACTGGTGTCACAGAGGCTTTTTGAGGAGGGTTATTCTACCCTGGCTAGAGGAATGACAGAGAGAGCGAACACCTTGGTAGGCTGCTCTGTTTTAAATGCCATACTTATATTGGCTCAATCCTCCACAAATCCTATAGAGTAGGTATTATTGTTGTACCCATTTTACAGATGAGGAAGCTGAGGCTAGGAAAGGCTAAGTTGCCCAAGCTTACAAATCTAGGCAAAGGCAGGGCCACTGTGCAGAATGCTGCAGATGAGTGGAAGGCTGGATGGCTCAGAGAGCTACAATTTTCTCAACAACTGAAGATAGCTGCTCCACAGCATTTCTTAGAGCTATAGCTGTGGGACTCGCCCAGATAGTTCACCAGAATAAGGTGGGATTCTCACCCCAGCTGCTGGGCTTTCCTGCTGGGTGATCTTGGACAGGTTCTCATAAGTAGAACTTCAGATTCTTCATCTCTACAAAGAGTTAATTAAACAGAGCTTGAAAATCTAACTCATTGGGTTGATGCATAATTCAAACCAGAGCCTGCATATAAAACGTCTTTATAAAGGGTGACACAAACGCAGGATGCTTTTACTAATTCCAGGGCTGTTTCCGAAGCAGGGATCTTAGACATTCCGAGCAGCTCGGAACTTTGAACGCATCTGCTTTCCTTGCGTCCCACATTCATCCCAATCAAGGAGCACACACACAAGAACTAAACCGCAAAGGACAGGGACGTTTCCAGGACCCGACGAGGACTCTTATCAAATCATGTCCAATTGCAGTGAGAAATGGCCCAGGCGCTGTAAGCCTCTGACAATTTTATGGCTTTACCATGCTGCCTTAGACGAGTTCAACTGTACAAGTGATTTAGAGGCCAGGCTCGGAAAGCAGGAGGCTGTGAATTCTCAGGCATCGCATGTGTTTAGAGAAAGCATGGCTGCTCCTGCAGGAGCCTGGGTGTGCCGCTGTGTACGTCTCCCGGGTCTTGGGGGATGGATGCTCCTGGCTCAGGAGCAGACAGATGCTCTGCACTGTAGAACCCAAAGGAAGTCTCCCCCATCCATGGCTAAGTGTCTGATTAGTCTTTTGTTGCAAAGTCGACAAGTTGTGAATTCTGATGCCTGAGAGTACAAGCTCTAGAATTGTATTACTTGGGTTCAAATTCCACTTCTGCCCTGAGCTGTGTGACTCTGGGCAAGTTATTCAGTCTCTTTAAATCTCAATCTCCTCACCTGTAATCTGGCTCCTAGGACAATAGTATCTACTTCAAAGGTTACTATAGGAGTTCAATGCAGTAATACATCTAAAAGGCTTAGCCTAGCAGGTAGCACATAGGATAAGTCCTTAGTGAATGTAAGTTCTTATTATGTTTAATTTTCAGTGATAAATATAATAATAATTCAAGATATAATTCATCTACTCTCATTTCTTAAACTTTCTTTAATACTTATTCTGGGGGAGGTCTCCTTATGTGGCCCCCAAGTCTTGAACTCCTGGACTCAAATGATCCTCCCACCTCACCTTCCTGAACATCTGGGACAACAGGGGCACAGACTCACACTAGCCTGTTCATTATTTTTAATATGTAAACTTGTTTCAAGCACAGAATTTGGCCAAGATTTTGCTACTTAACTAGTCCTTCATACAGGTCTTTGTCTTTTTTCTTTTTCATGTATTTAGTACAGGGTCTCACTACACAGATTGGACTCATAATGATCCTCCTGTTTTCGGCCTCCCAAGCACTAAAATTATAGGTACCTGCCACCATGCCCAGTCTCAATCACTGTCTCAGTGTGCCCGGTGGGCTGATCGAACTCTGATCCCTGCATCTGCCTATGCAGGTGCTTTAGTCCACTGAGCTATCTGGCTGGCCCCAGGTCTTCATCTTGAAAGAGTAAAAAAAAAAATTTTTTTTTTTTTTAACCAGGGATTGAACTCAAGCCCTCACACTTGCCAAAGAGCATTTATTCTACTGAGCCATCTCCCCAGCCCCTTGAAAGAGTAAAATAAACAGCTTCTAATGACTGACCTGCCAGATGTGGACTTTCTGACTATACTAAATTAATTAATGTGCAAGCAATTAATGTGCCCGCTCAGGCCAGTTAAGACAAAGCTGAGCCCGCGCCGTTCTGCCCCAATTGAGTTCGAAGGCTGTGTTTCTGGTCACTGGGTTTCTTCTCGTGTCCCCAGGCACACGTTCCTGTTACTCATCCTCTTCCTTATTCCTGGAGTTGTGATGATGGTGGCCTATGGATTAATCTCTCTGGAACTTTATCAAGGCATAAAATTTGATGCTACCCAGAAGAAATCCGCTAAAGGTAACTGTCTTACAGCTGTATGCTTATACAGATCTTCTGTGCCTTGGAAGGGTCTACCAGAAGCCCATGCTGAGGTACTGGAGATGTTTGAAAGTGTTCTTCCAAGGCTTTGTGTCATGAGGCACAGTCGTGAGACCCAGTCTCTGTACTTGTTCCTCTGTAAAGTGGGGAAATACAGTCATTCCTCTCAAAAAGGTACTGAATGGTCTACAAAAAAATAATATGCCTATAACTCAGTTATAAGAGTGGGGCCATGTATCACTCCTAAAATCTGTTACACTGCAAACAGATTCCTTCACTACAGCACACCGTGAGTCACTGCACTTGGGTCTCTCCAAAGGAATTCAAAAGAAACAACCCAGCTTCTTCTTGATTTCTTCCCATCTCCCTCCTCTCTGTCACTCCTGTGCTGCAGGGGCCACAATGCCCCACACCTTCCCATTCCACCCAAGCCACTAGCCACTGATGTTGTTGCTGTTGACATAACCTTTCCCTCTCCCCTCTAATCCCTTGGTCAGCTCTTTACTATGGAGATAACTAAGTCACTCTGCTTTCTGGGTTTCTCCCTGACTTTTTCTCATTTATCTAAAAAGCAATCAAATCAAAGCTTACACGTGGGCAAGAGAGTGTATGAATATTTTCTTTTTTCCCATTTTAAAAATTTATTTGTTTGTGAGTGCTAGTATTCACTCTGTAATAATTTTTTATCCTTATAATCTCAATGTAAGATACTATTTTATTATGTATTATGCTACAGATGCATGATTTTATTAGTTTCAAGTAGCTTTTCAGTCACGCTGAGAATGAGTGTAGATCCACACTTACTCCATGTGGGCCACAGTGCCTATTGGATTATCCAATTCAGTTTGGCCTGGCTTCCAGGGCAGATAGAGGTGGGCGCTCTGTGACTCTTGTCAGGCTTGACCCACCTAAACAATAAACATGTCACTTGCCCATCTAGAAAGGAAGACCAGCACTAGCAGCAGTGGCCAAATTGAGGACAACGATGGGTGTTACCTACAGAAGTCCAAACATTCCAGGAAGCTGGAGCTTCGCCAGCTGTCCCCCAGCAGCAACAGTGGCAGCAGGATCAATCGTATCCGGAGCAGCAGCTCCGCGGCCAACCTGATGGCCAAGAAGCGGGTTATCCGCATGCTCATGGTCATTGTGGTCCTCTTCTTCCTGTGCTGGATGCCCATCTTCAGCGCCAATGCCTGGCGGGCGTACGACACTGTCTCTGCCGAGCGCCACCTCTCCGGGACGCCCATCTCCTTCATCCTCCTGCTCTCCTACACCTCCTCCTGCGTCAACCCCATCATCTACTGCTTTATGAACAAACGGTTCCGCCTCGGCTTCATGGCCACCTTCCCCTGCTGCCCCAACCCAGGGCCCCAAGGGGTGAGAGGAGAGGTGGGGGAGGAGGAGGAAGGCAGGACCACAGGCGCATCTCTGTCCAGATACTCCTACAGCCACATGAGCGCCTGTGCTCCGCCCCCATGAGCGGGGCCTTGGGCCACCCAGTACCACAGAAAGGAGGCCACAGGAGGAAGAAGAGAGAAGGAAGGAAAGGAGAAAGCAGAAGGGGAAAGAAGGGGCAGAAGGGAGGAGAAAGAAGGCCGGTTCCCCGAGGGAACTCTCCATTGTCTGCATTTTATCTTTCTTCTCTTCCTGGAGAGGAAGCCCTGCTCTGGGATGGCCCTGATTTGGTGTCCAGGTAGGCAGGATATTCTCAGAAATACTATCAGAGAAACTGGGGCCAGGCTAGTGACAGGAATCTACAGAGTCACGCTGCAAATGCAGTCATCCAGCCTATGTTCAAACGCAGATGTGGACCCTACAGAGCTTTAGAAAATTCTGAAACATCCCACATCACCCTCCATAGCAACATCTTTCTATATTCTGCTGCTTCTGCTTGTGCAGATCTGTGGGGACTGCTCTGTCCCAGGAAACTCATCACTTTTGAGTGCCTACTACAGCCACCCATCTTCCTGCAGCCCCCTCCTTTGGCCACCTTGTGAAGGAGACGCCAGTCTGGTGGTGTTCATCTCAAACTTCGGTGCAGAGCATTTAGAAACACAGGCTATGCCATCATCAGAACAACTGAAGGAGTGTTGTCCTAAGGAAGGAGTGTGACAGAACTCATACTTCTACAAAGAAAAGAGATTACAAGGCAGAAAGCTATGCAGGACAGTACCTCACTGTAAGGCATGGTAAGCACAGCGGGTGCACTGCGGATGTTTTCTGCTTCCCTTTTATGCTGATTTTAAACCTCATTACTTCATTGCCTCAACTTAATTTCCCATATTTAGCTCCACTTCCTCTTTTCCAGAAAGACCTCCAGGTGCAAAGGAGAGTGACTAATGAGTACCTGGGCACAAGTCTAAACAGGTTAGTCAGGCCTGGAAGCAAAGCTGGCATAAATGCACTCAGTTAGCAAATAGCTTTTGAATGTCAAAACCATCTATGCTTTTAAATATAACCAGTGTTGGCGAATTATATATATATATATATATATATATATATATATATATATATATAATTTACATATAGGCATACCTTTGGTGTGTTTAGAAAAAAGAATTCTTAAGAGATGTTGACAATCAGCAGGTTTCGTGCTTCTTGTTTGCCTTCATAAATTAAGGAGTCTTGTGTGAACTTTGTTGCACAATTAATGTCGAAATGTCTCTACACTAAGTTAGAAATCTCAATTTAAAATAAGATACTAGTTATACACACAGACACCAGGGAAGTGCCTTTCTAGAACAGTCTGTATCAGTCCAACCTAGCAAGATTGTTTTTTGTTTGTTTGTTTGTTTTTTTCCTGAAGAACATTTTCCAGTCTGGTAAAGTAAGTCACTATGGACACTTTCCACAGAAGCAAATTTACATAATGGTATGCAAAGTACTTAAACACAGGAAAAAAGGAAAGAAAGGAAGTTTGTACCTTTGAGACTCCAAGCACCTAAGAAATGTGCCTGGTCTCTTCTGGTTTCTCTGGGGTCATCGGTAACCACTGACCCAGGTTGACAAGCTGTGAGGTGGTTTCAACCATCAGCCCCCCAAATGTCACCATGGAAAGGGGGTTGGGGTAAGAGATGATAGTGACAAGAGGCGATGGGGTAACAGGTGCTGTGCAATGTGACAGGACATGGGAGTTCCATTGGCTCTCTAGCAGGTGACAATCATGTGCCAAGAGGAAACGGAGGGTGTGATTCTAGAGGGGACTTTTCAGGCCAGACTGTTCCTTCTCCGACCACGATCGAATTTTTCTTTCACTAAGCATCTCAAGGTAACTTTTACCATTCCAAGGTAAAAATTTAACCAACTAAAATGTGCACTGCCACAGTTGTAATGGTAAAAGGTATATGAAAGAAAAATATCCTCAGTAGTTTGGTGTGTCTGGCATTAGCTACAATTTTCCTGTCAGAAGAATGTCTTCCCCTCTAACAGGTTTAACATATAAATAAAACAAATATTGCCAATTATTAGAAATGTCTAGAATTTCCAAAGAAACATTAACCTAAAAATATGGTCCCCCAGCTTAGCTAATGAAAGTACAGATCAAACTAATTCTAATTTCAGATAAGCAATAAAAAAAATTAGTATGACTATGTCCCATGCCCTAAAATACATCTTGTAGTTTAACTGGCAATCCTACTTTGAAATATTTAAAACTACAAAAATATAAAGATGATTTTCTAGATATAATGTAATAAAATTCCTCTATTAATTTATTGGAAGGCCTTTTGCTTAATGAAAGCCTTTTTTAAAAGGAGAAGAAAAACTATTAACTTCGAGGATCTGTGTCTGACCTTTGGAAAAGTCTGATTTCACTGACTTTTTAAAGATTTAATATAATGCTATTCTCATACTTTGTTAACTGGCTTTGTTTCATGCTAAAGCAGATTAGGAACTAAAGTGGCCATGGAGGTAAATTAAAAAATATGTCAATTTTCTGGTATTTTCAAGTGGCTTCTGGTAGTTTCCTCCATCACCTTAGTGATAAATTAAGGCACTAGAATGGAGAGTTGTATATTTGTCCTTTAATTAAATCCTGTGTGTTGGTGGCTTCACGTGGCCGCATCACCGTGGTAACCTCTCCTAATACACCCGTGCTGGTGAAGGAGAAGTGCCTGTGTTTCTAGGGCTCAGTTTCACACAGCCCTATATGCCTAACAGAGGTTCCTTTCCTTCCAATGACATGTAATCACAAGATGAGTGACGGTGGCTATGTGTCCCCCAGTCACCCCCACAATGTAAGTGCTCAATAAATGTTGTGTGTGACGGTTGTGATTCCTGTGCCCTTACTGCTGTTCCACTCACAGCTCTGCACCTCAGCAGGAGGAAGCTTATTCTTGGGGGGAGAGCAGAGGAGGGGAGCAGAATTCTGACAAGCATCCTTCCCCTCTGGCCACCTCCCCACCCAAGGTTCCTGATGCACCAGCCAGTATCTGTAGCCGTCTCCGCCTCTTTTCTTGTCTCCTATGGCCTGGGTGGGGGGCACAGTGATTGTAACCAAAGATGCTACTTGGGTGGGCAGCACTGAGATCCAGATGGACAAGGGTGTCTCTCAGCTTGACTCTTTCTGCCCTTGTTCTCATTGGGAAGAACAGTAAAGCCCCATCCCCACATTTCTAACCTGGCTTACTCCTTAGGTCTGATAAACATCAAAGCCCATGTAGCTTGCCTGGCTGCTACTCCTGCCTGTTTGCTGCTGCCTGGTCCTCTGGGTGCCTTGCTGGGCCATCTCCCAGCTCACGCTGCATCTGGCTCCTTCCTGTGGTTGATCTCAGTACCAAGCATGGTACTCTCCACCCCAGCTTTACTGGGTGTCCTAGACCTCTCAGGCTTCCTAGCACCCTCTGTTGGCATAGCACAAGGAGAGCCCCACTAAGCCCCCTGCTCCAACCCAGCTCTGGGAAGCACAGTCACCTTGCACAGGAGGTGAGATGGAGCAGGTACAATTATCCAACACTCTATGGGTGCTCAATAAGTGCTTCATGGAATGAATGAATGAATGAATGAATGAATGAATGAATGAATGAATGAGAATGGAGTTGTTCCCCAGTACCAGTCCTTTCCTGGCCACTTTGGGCAGGGCATACCTTCCCACCCAGGGGCAGAGTGTGCAGTAATGATTGTGCAAAGCCAAGCTGACCAAGAAGTCACATCCAGATTCCATGCATCCATGCTGTACATGATGTGTAGCAAATCTTACTTCTGAAATCATTAACCAAAAAATCTACTTCTGTGGACAATGAAGATAAAGTCCACAGGCCTGTGTCCTAGCCCCCCTGGCTATCACTAACTTACTGCATGACCCCACATCCCCTGGGGGTCAGTTTTCTCTCCCACATAATAAGGGAGGAAGTTGTGCTTCCATGTCTGAGACCATGTGACTCAGTGGGTCAGAATTTGCTCTCTGGTTGTTATTCAGTTTTCCCTCAATTTCATCAGATGGCTGGTAAGCAATGGGGCAGGGTCAAGCCACGTTTTAATTCTATCAGTGACTTGGGATTGGATGACATCTGCTATTCTAAGTAATCAATAGCAACTACTCAGTTTCCTGTGATGCTGCCCAGGTCCCAGTCCCTGCACTGTCAACCCCAAGGAAGAGATCCCTGTCCAGACCAGTGAACATCTGGGCCACCTCACTCTGAGCTCCCTGCTGGTGCAGGGTTTGAAAGCTGGATTTTTGCCCTTGTGTCCTGAATGTTTCGGTCCCTGTTTTTCTTTATAGCAGTAAAATTACATACACTTTGCCACCTCACAAGAAAGCCAAGAGATAGCACCAGTAAACCAGAGTTCACCTCTTTGGCAAATTATTAACAATTTCAAACAAATGTGTTTCCTCTGAATCCTCAGGAAGAAGACACACACAGGCCAACTTGTCGATCAGCCCAAGGTGTAAAACTTCTGGGCTTGCCTTTCCGTGTGATCTTTTATCAAGTTCTCCTTCCCCAGTGAAATGGGAAGATTGCTGCTATCTGCAGAATGTCACTAGCAAGCCCGATGTCCCCTGCCACTTCCAGCTCACCCTGTCAGCAACGGGACCCATTGGTGTATCTCAAACCACTCCTGCTTCTGCTTCTACCCCCCACTACTGGTGCCTGGCTCGCCCCAGTTTTCATCCTCCAGGCCTGCCTCACCTTTGGAAGGACAGTGTCAGGATGTGGTGAGGAGCTTGGGAGACAGAAAGACTTGAATTCGTATACCGGGCCCCACTGGTGGCGAGACAGTGGGCAAGTCACTCAGTCCCCAAGTCCCAGCTCCTCAGCTGGAGCACTTGCATCGTAGGGTTTTGTGACAGTTAGACAACAGTAATGCTAAAAGATGTTAATGATATTAACTTTAGTGTGATTTTTTTCAATGGTTTCTGGCCTCACACGATAGTTGTGGATAGGCAGGGGCAAGTTGCCCTATACTCCAAGCAGAGGGATAAATATAATGCCAGTTTGCTGAAACAGCGGCAGGACACGGGAGGGTGGGGTAGAAGAGCTACCGTGAGGACAGAAGGCAGAAGCGGGAGAAAATGCTATTTTTTCTGAATGTTCTGCATCTTTAAATAAACAAGTTCTAAGTGAAGAGTGTCTCA